GTAAATCGAGATAATCGACCAGTGATTCGAGAACCATGCGGTACGGGCCATCGAAAGCTAGCAGATCCACATCATTGACCCTCTCTTTGACGTCTTCACTCATAGCGTCATTCACAAGACGATCTAGTCTTGACGACAAATCCGACTGCGAAATGTCCAGCCTTTGCTTCATCTTCTTGAGTTGGTCTCTGAAATCAATCACGCCACAACCGATCCTCGCCATTGTTGTGAGTGCCATGTCTTTGTCGACCACAGAGTGTTTATTTGCTGAGTCGTCCTTGAGTATGTTGACCATACGAACCAAGAGGCTCTGCAAAAGTATGACAGCAGCCGGCCACTGGGGAGAACCAAGGACGTTACAGAAATCGTCGATGAATAAGTCCAGAAGGTTGCGGAATGGCTTGTCGCCTGATTTGGAAGTATTCGAGGCTTTGTCGCACAGTTGGGTTACAATATACATTGCCGTGCTGGTAGCTTCCACCGTCAAGTCTTGAGCAATCACTGCCGGCGGCCGGCCGGCGCCTCTCTTTGGGGCTTTCGAGGGTGCTTGGCCAGGCTCGTAATCGCTGACATCGTCTTCAATCATGCTAACAGCCGCTTCTTCGCCTTGCGACGCAAGACGAGTGCTGGGATTTGTTGCGACCACTTGGACAAATCGCATGAAAAGTGCAGATATCGTCATAATCGGGACTTCACGAGCCGACAAGAATTGCCTCGCGCTCGCTTTCTTGTCGGGTAGCTTTTCCAGGTTGCCCAGGATGCCATTTAGAATCGACTGTCGTTGGCTTGGGTATCGAGCGAAAATCTGGGCAAGAACATCCATGACTTTCTGGCGGAAATGCTCGAACTTCTTGATGCTAAACACCGAATCCTTCTCGTTCTCGCTATTCTGCTCAACGAGCAGTTCCAACGTCAGATACTCCAAAGTATTGAGTGCCCGGTCCGGCAGATTGTATTTGCCCATCAGCGTAGCAAAGCGGGTAAGGACTGCTCCACACAGTCGCAGCACCATCTGTAGATCTGACCTATGAGCCGATGCTGCAGTGAAAAGGTCTTGAGCTTCCCCAGACCGCCGAGATTGAACGACAGGCACAATGCAGGCATTCTTAATTAGCTTCGTGAGATCGACAATGGAATCGATAATGTCCTCTCGTCGCATCCGATAGTCGTCACGTCCCTCGATCATGGTTTCCAGCAGGAGCTTGGATGACTTGAGCGCGAACTTGGCTGTTGTAATGCTCTCGGTAAGCTCCGGGGTAGTCTCATCCCGTGGAAAGAGCCCATTCTTCGTTGCACACACGACAGCGGGGTGTAGTAGTGATTGTATCTCCATGGCAAGGTCCACAGGAAGCGCATTGAAGCGGCCGAGACTGACAACACCGGACATCTTCTCTGAAAGAGCCTCCATTGAGCGGGGTTTGAGAACGTTGAACTCGCCGTCAGGAGTTGGGATTCTGGTGAAGTGCAGTGAACCGTCAAGATCATCTTTGTCTTCGCTCAGACTGGCGACTAAAGAGTTGAGAATCTCAATCTTCCCGTCAGCGATCTCTCGTTCGTGGGGTCTCAAGACTGCAACGCCGCTCTCGGCTCTGTTGTCCTCCTTCCTTTGTGACAAGCTTCCAATCTCGATGTTGTCGATGTACTTGTAGTCTGCGCGTGGAACCGCTTTTGGCTTTATCATAACGGCCGGACCAGGAGGCCGCACTGGTGTGCTGCTGGGAGCCGATGGAAGAGCGCTTGACGAGAAGGGTAAATCTATGTTTTGCGTGAAAGCATGGCCGTTGGAGGTGGCCTGGGGCGGTGTGGGCGCTGGGCGCGGCAGTCGTGGAGGTTCAGCTTTTCGGGAAGGTGCCGACTCTGATCGAGGCTGTTCGGGTGCTTTGACATTCGGTGCTGTCCTTGTTAGTGGTTGCACGGGGAAAGTGACAAAGAGGCCTACCCGTATATGCCACATCCGTCTGGTCGTAAAGCCTGCGCGCGAAGGGGCTCAGATCAGAGATAGCGCTGCGAGTATCTCCATTGGTGTTCTTGACGGGACTGTCCGGCGGAGGGGTTGGTAGTTGCGGCATGGGCTTGAAGTGACTGTGGGTGTTAGAAGAGACTTCCAGGTACGGCAAGAGCGTAGACCCACTACTCTGGCAGCCTATCGCGAAGTAGGAGGTTGCGAAGCTGGTTGAGGGTATCATGCAGATGCTGGGCGGTGGACTGGCCTTGGATCTCGGCGTTCAAGATTCCGACAGCCTTCTTCGCGGCTTTTTGTTGCTCGGGGTTTAGGGTAGAGGGTGGCGTGGGAGGCTCGGCGGTTGGGAAGGGTATGATTTCTGGTGGTTATTAGCCAGGTGAGAGAAAAGCGCTTGGGCAAAGGGCGCAAGTGAAGCAGAGTGACGCACCGGGCGAGAAGGGGATGATGGAGGTAAAGGGCGAATACGGAAGGGCCTCATCCACTGTGGGCGGAGGCCTTCTGAACGGGAGCGCGCCTCCGTTGGCATGATGCCAGTCGCCATTCATTGCCGCTTGTGGTGTTGAGCACTTGCGGACAGGCGCAGTCGAGGTGTGGTGGTAGACTTGGATTGGACGGGTTGGGCATGCGGCTATATCATCGTGCGTGCGCGCATGCTATGCTCCGGTAGCTGGACAGTCGCTGCCTGGTGGACTGATGGTAGCAAACTTATTGTAAAAGTACCATGCGATGCGACCGGGAGCATGAATGCATGTGGTGGTGCACGGCATTCAGACGCGTTCTCACCGCCTGCCATTCCCGTCCTAGCTTGGCTGCAGCCGCGGAAGTCGCGATTCCCTGTAACTTTTTTCCTCAACTCCAACACCAATCACCCGCCCCAAGACGATAAATCGACAAATCACCCACCATGTCGGCTATTGGTAGTCTTGTCTTTTGCACCGACTGCGGAAATCTCCTCGACGGATCTGCCGGCAAGCAAAATGTGATCTTGACCTGCGCGGCATGCGGAGCGCAATGTAAAGGTATGCGCCGTCTATGCTGCGCATGCGGAAGAGTAGAGGATTTAACCGACCGCAGATACATCATCCAAGACTGTCGTCACAGTTTCGAAGCCCACCGCTTTCCCGTCATCGCTGCGCGCAAAGAGATCCGAGGTCCAGACCATATCCGAAGAGGACGTTCAGACGAGCAGCGTCATCAATCATCCATGCGAGAAATGCGGAAGAGAGGAAGTGCGATACTACACACAACAACTGCGAAGCGCAGATGAAGGAAGTACTGTCTTCTACGAGTGCGACTGCGGTCACAAGTACGTTCAATCGTCCATATCAAGAGCTGAGCTTATGCTAATTGCTATCTTACAGATGGAATACCAACAACTGAAGCGGAAATTCTACCTATGTGGCCATTTTGAATTCTAGATACCCCGAACGCCGAATGCATGCAATCCCTTGGGCTGCGCTAAGCTGCAATAGCTTGCGGCACGATCGCGTACTCCATCTCTCCGTTCTTCTCAAACTCTGCCATGTCAAGTGCTACGACCACACTGTCGCGCACCACCTGCTCTGGATCGTTCAAAAATTTACGCAGAGTATCTTCGACACCCTCTTCATCGCCCAAGCTTCCAAGTGCCTCGGCTGCCTCATGTCGGACCATGCTTGCCTCCTTTGTGTTACTGAGCGCTTCTGTAAGACTAGGGATGGATGCGGGGTGTGACAGCTGCCCAAAGACAAAGGCGATTTCGTGGCGGAAGAGAGCAGATGGGTCTGTGAATCCGCGAGCGAGCGCCTGTACGGCCGGAACGGCAGTTGGGAGGTCGGGCGGCGAGGAAAGATCGCGCAGGGCGAACATGGCGCGGTAGCGCTGGAACAAGGGCAACGAGGTGTCGAGCAGTGTCTTTTCAAGCTCGGGGATCGATGCCTTCTCCGTACTCTGTGGTAGTGGTGGCGCAGGGTCGATGGACGTGAAGTCGCTGTGTAGTAGTCAGCAAGAAAGTAGAATACACAGGAATTGACATAAGCATACCTCTTCTTCAACTTCTCCTGCCCCTTCTGCAGCCCATGGTCCCACTCTATGCGGTCCACAGCAATGTCGCAAGTCTCCCGTACGACATCGATCTCTTTGACGTCGTCCCTCAACGCCCTTAGCAGCTCAAGACTGCCCTTGTCGCTCAGCGCACCGAGTGCCTCGGCAGCCTCGTGCCTGCACATGGAGTCCTCCTCTTTATCCTCCAATACGCCCCTCAAGGGCGCGATGGCAGCATCGTGCCCCGACTGACCCAGGCAGTAGGCGAGTTCGTGCTTCAACAGAGCTGACGGCGATGCGAAAGCGGCGGCAATGGCCTCGATGGCGGGGACAGTCTGCGCACTGGGTGGCTGCAGGCCCGCAAGGTGCTTGAGAGAGAAAAGAGCGCGAAAGCGGCGGGCGAGGGGCTCCGACTCCGAGGTGAGGATGTTGCGAAGCGTAGGAACTTGGGTGTCCTGCTCTGTGACTGCCATTTTGCTGCTGTGGAAAAGAAAAGTGATCGCGAACGTAGTTCTTCACGTAAATGTCTTCCGAAAGCGGCTCGACTCTTTTTTGGCGGGGATGCAGAGATCTGGTGGGGTGTCAAAGTTCCATCTGATAAGATCTTCACCGCACATGTGCACCTGCATCCACAACAGTTGACGCTAGTCGGATACGGTTAGACATAATGTGACAGCGTGGCAGACCAGTTGACCGAGTCCAGGGCTGCATGAGCCATGCAGGAACAAGCCGCTCTGTTCACCTTACTTTCACTAGCTATGACTCCTTTTTGCCCCGTCTTTACTCCCCGTGAGTGAAAGACTCAGCAGGTCAACAGCGCATCAAAGGGACAAAGACTATACCTGGGCCTGCCGCATGGGGAATCGAGTAGCCTCACCCTCACCTTCACTTCACCGCGACTTCGCATATCGACTGCAAACCCCCACCACGCTCCTTACACGTCACACCCACCACGACGTGACGGGGACACTTCTTTTACGCGACCAGACTCGACTGCTTCCACCTACCACTTAGTATGGCGTTTCTTCGCGGAGTGTCCGACTGCTTCTGGAACTACGTCAGTCCGCGCAAGACACAACAGCGCCGCGAAAAGCCGTATGCCTTCAAGGTGCCTGCGCTGCCCACTCGATCCGCTGCTCTGTCAAAACACACCACACCACCGCCTACACGAGACATGAGTCCCGAAGCGCACGTCAAGACCCGGGGACTCAGCCCACCGAGCACTCACTACGATATCGATGCGACGCTGCTACCGCCCTCCCCACCAGCCTCGGCCATGTCGTCCAAGGACCTGGAAGGAGATACCCTGGTCGCGCATTCGCCCATCGCACTCGCGAGGGACCACGAAAACGATGGCTCTTCGGCCGACCTATGGGATGCGAACGAAGAGACCATGGTCGTTGATGACGGCACCTACATGGTCGTACAAAAGAAGGTCAACCACGACCAGGAGCGGCACAGACAAGATCAACAAGCCCGTGAGCTGCGCGATGCTGGTTGGTCTGAGGACGCCGTCTTTCTCTTTCAGAAGCTGGGCATGCGCGGATTTGAGCCATTGATGCCCATCAGCTGGATCGATGATCTCGAGACTGTCCCCGCAGACCTATTCACCGAGAATATCGACAAGGCGTTCATCAAGCCAGCCTGCGGTACTGATTACAGTGGTATGTTACGATCTTGTAGTTGCTAAGAGGATCTTACTAACAGCGTCCAGCGCAGCATGCTCTCGAGAAGCTGTTCGACCTGGGCGGTGTCGCTCGCGACGCCTGGCAGACGCGGACGAAGCGCGCTCCCCACTTCCAGATCGGCAAGGCTGTCAAGGCATACACAAAATGGGCTATGAAGGACGGCAGAGTCGAGCATCTCTGGTCCCAGCTCCCTCTATTCCAGACCGTCACCTTCTCAAGACATGTACACCCGGCCGTCGGAGAGCGCAAGATGATCGAGAAGCTTGGTCGGCTACACGAGCTATGGTACGACGCTCTACAGATCGATGAGGCAGCAGCCCGCGGAGACGCTATTGTGCCTGAAGTTCCGACCCTCTATGGTATCACTGCAACGCACACCGTCCTGGCGTTTGTGAGCTACGCGCCGCCGACCTTGAAGAACGAACAACCTTCACTACGTTTACTCGCCATGTACGACTTTATGCAGGAAGGCTGTGATGTTTGGAACTCACTTGCTATCTCCATCTTCATCATTCACGCGAGGAACAGAATGATGCAGTTGAGGGAGTGGCTTCCAGAGCCGGAGGTATCAACCGGCGAAGACCCTGATCTTTGAACGACGAACACGAAACCAAAAAGACAACACATGAGAATGGATGAAAGAGACGACAAACTACGTAATGAACGAGATGGATATGGTTATGAACGATGGATACGATTTCAGTGCGAGGCCTTTTGCTTCTAGATATACCCGGTTATGAGCGCAATACCCCTAGTTTTCTTTTATTTCCTTTGTCAGACTGGCTGAACGACTGATGTCGGGCTCCGCTAAAAGAGCTGGAGACGACGAATACCCCAGATTGCGTCACTTTGCACATGCCTCAACGCAAGCAAACTTGCGGTGGTTGATGTGACAGAACGAAGAAGATGAAATTGATCCAAGCAATTACATGGTAATTATTGAAAAAAATGATATATCATACAATTGCATTTCTCTGCCTGATTGTGATGCTGACTTCTGCATACATCGCGACCCTGTTGACGCCGTAACTCCACATCTCGTGAGCTGGTGCCTCTTTTCCTTCATATCCCCTCACACCCCTTCACCCTCTCCTGGAGCGGCTTTTGTGCCCTTGATCAGACCTCTTTCCTCGGAGTCCACACCCAACCTGCTTCTTGACAGATCCTCAGATCTTCGAGCTTCTTCTCCAAATCCAACATGCAGCCCCTGCAGTGACCCGAGAAGATAGTGATGGAATTGGTGGGGTTTTGACACGGTAGTCGATACCTGCTTCCGGGGTCTGCGCCGCACATGGTGAACGGGTTGTCGTAGACTTGTGTCTTGTGCTCGCATGCGGTGTGGTGGTAGAAGTTGCGTCTGCACATTGTTGTTAGATTGTGATTTTGGTGATGATGTAGGCTTGAAACTGGAGATTTGACTGGGAGATTGGGGGCTGAGGAGGTTGTTGGTGTTGTTAGTGATAGCGAAAGTCTGGTTAGTAGCAGAGGTTGGAGAATACACGCTATTCAGTCACAGTGAATTTGAGTTTGCTATGTCCTTGTCGTTGTCGAGGTGAAGTGAGAACTTTTCCAGAGCACCTCTGAGTGACCTGCAGGAAGTCATGGTGAAGCAAGATTTTGATCTTTCCATGATCGCAAGACCTTGTAGGAGCCTAGTTGAAGAGCGACAGGTTATGGTATTATCGAAGGAGAGCAAAATATCAGCGACTGGGGGTGGATAGTTCGTTACTGTCGGCTCCTTGCCCAGGTGCAAAGCCCAGCTCACGTGATGTTTCACTCAATTCAACTCCCTCGTACCAACCTGCACAGCGTGCCCCTTCATACTCGGCCGTTCAACCAAGCTTCCACGCATTCACCTTTCACCCACCGGGACAAGACATCTTATACAGTACCAAGAGTCTGGGCAAGCAAGCCCGCTGTGCGGTGTCTAGACTGTAGAATCCGGGGTACAGACGGCTATGTGAACATTTACCGTACGTGATGGCGCACAATATGGCGGGTAAAACGTGATTGGAGCGTTAAGTTCCCCGGATCCCCAGGACTGGCTACTATTCTCCGGGATACGGGGAAATGTCGTGTTGTGATCACCTAGCATTACGCAAGGGGCGCTGCGTACATGTGAAGAGGAAATTGCGGCTGCGGTGATGCGGACGTGGTGATGCGTCCTTTACGGATATGACAGCCTCATGTGATAGCATGTAAGAACTCATTTAGACGTTCTTGGTAGCAAGGGGAGTGGTTCGGCAAGCCTGCCGTATATATGAAGTCAGGAGATCGATCCATATTCGCAAGATCTCAAGTACCAGGGACAGTGATCTTGTGCAGCCGGGCTGAAGGGTCGAACAGCTCATTACGATCTCGTAACTATGATTGCGGATTCCTGCTGCCGACATGTTCGCTGATTATGCTGGTCCAGAACATGAGCGCAGTGACAGACAAGCGGTATGCGGCTCAAGCAAGATGCAGGCAAACGTCTCTTGGCAGCGCGCTTGGACGCCCCACGAAAATATCGCAGTCCTTCATCTGTTGCTGTAACATCGCCAACACCTCACGAACTATGCCTGCAGTACTGCATAGCCTGCTAAGCTTCTTGGATATCGAGCAATCACCATACAATGTGTAAGAGATGCGCCTTCTGCCGCCACTTCTAGCCTTGGAAGCGCCACACGTGTCACGCGGCTTCACATAGATTACCAACTTACAACTCCACTGTTCGGTATTCACGCCAAGACGTTCTTTAACCGCAGGAAGATTGTAAAGGCGGAGAGCTTGGCATATGCATGCCATAGAGCTTGGGAGCACACGTGGATGGGTGCTCGCCAGGACAGTCATAGCGCCGCCATGACCCGAAGCCCACTCCACCACGGAGATATTGACATGTAGGTTGATGACCGCCCGGTCTTGTCCCGTAACCGTTTGTTTCAAGTTACAGGCCAATCACATCGGATGCTGCGCCGGCATTTCGCATGCCTTTCTTTCCAGAAGCCAAGCCCGGCATAGTGGTGTTTCTCCTATCGCAGCACTTGATCTACATCCTAGCTGCTAAGAGACGGACGGCCGTAGTGATGGCGAGAATGTTTGTCTTGGTCCCGCCAGCAAAACCGGGGCTACCACATTGAACCACCAAGCCGCCGTGTGTAGTCGAGCAAAGACATATAAAGCCATCTTGAGTCGCCTCGTAGATCACCACCACGATCAAACATCTTCCTTCGCTTCCTATCACAAGCAACTCATATTCAAGATGGTCTCTTTCACCTCCCTCGTCACTGCTGCTATTGCGGCCACTGGCGTTTTCGCTGCTCCCGCCACTGATGTAGCTGCTCGTTCGCCTAGTGACCTTGTTGCCCGCCAGAGCACTCCCAACGCTGAGGGAACTCACAACGGCTGCTGTAAGTCGTATCATGAAGCAATATGTTGAGCATAGCTGATCATGTGTCTAGTCTACTCTTGGTGGACTGATGGTGGCTCCCGCGTCACCTACACCAACGGTGCTGGCGGAAGCTACAGCGTCAACTGGGGAAGCGGTGGCAACTTCGTCGGTGGAAAGGGATGGAACCCTGGATCCGCCCGGTATGCCAACCCAAGCAACTGCATGCTTGATGTGAGACCTTTGCTAACTATGCATCAGTACCATCACCTACTCGGGCACCTACAACCCCAACGGCAACTCCTACCTTGCCATCTACGGCTGGACTCGCAACCCGCTCGTCGAGTACTACGTCGTTGAGAACTTCGGGTGAGCAATGTCCCTGTACGGACTGCATGAGAGACATACACTAACATCACAAAGAACTTACGACCCATCTTCCCAAGCCTCGAACAAGGGTACACTGACCGCCGACGGCTCTTCCTACAAGATCGCTCAGTCGACCCGTACCAACCAGCCATCCATCGATGGAACTAGGACCTTTCAGCAGTACTGGTCTGTTCGCCAGAACAAGCGTTCGAGCGGATCCGTCAACATGAAGACTCACTTTGACGCCTGGGCCAGCAAGGGCATGACTCTTGGTAGCCACTACTACCAGATCGTCGCCACTGAGGGTTACTTCTCCACTGGCTCCGCATCCATCACCGTCAACTGCCCGTAAGCTTTCCATCGTGGAAAGACTCAACTTCCTGAGGCGGTGACGCAGATGCTGTGATGGTGCAAGGGTGTGAAGATGCCAAAGGTCGTTCACTTCCCTGGCGACTTCTTTACTGTAAATATTATCTTACGCTGGTTTGCTAGCACGAAAATGTCAAACTTTTGCCATTCCACATACCTGTTCACGTCGCTGTCATTCACTGGTGCCCACTCTTCACGCGCACGACATACTAAAGCAATGCGCGAGACCGAGCTTGCTTTCTCATATACATACCTTTCCTAAATATTAGACTTGACAATGTGCCTTCGCCACTGCATACAATACTCATGCGGGCACATGCGGCTCCGTTCTATACACCCTTTTACGTTATGTCCACGAGCCGAACATCGCCCCCCACAGCGTCAATGTAACAGGGTCGATGACCGAATGCACCCCGAAAGTAAACCGTGTCCAGGCTGTCCCAAGAAAGCGCAAGATCCTAGAAGTAGGGAAGATAACAAAGCCAAGAAACCACGGGACCCTCGTTGGCCCGGCGGCCCGCAATGGTCTGGCTATGGCGGTCTAGGCGGAAGAGATAATTACCGCGACGATGTACCGCAGTAGGTAGCAGATGTGAGAGACCAGACTGCGGGCAAGGTGAGGTTAATGGAGCTCATGATGACTCGATGGCCCTGGAGGCGTCGAAGCCCCCGTCATAGCCACGTCTGCAGGCCAGCTCACCTTTACCTCCTCTCCCAAGCCTATGACAGCTGGCAGGTACAGTAGAGGCCCTACCTAGATCTTCTTACCTATCTATTCCTTCCCAAAACTACTTCACCTAGTCATCGGCATCCTCTCGACTTCGTGGTTCATACTGTAACCTAAACTACCTCACCTGGTCCCTTTCCGAGACACAACTAAAGGGCTCGCACCATGACGGACAACCCAGAATACCCCCCAAAGTCTTCCGATCGCTACACGCTAGCAGAACTTCACCAAGAAATTGCAAGAGACGAAAACTGGCGAACAAACTTTCGCTACTTACCCAAGGCTTTAAAAGCAAATCTTAAATTTCACCTGGTAATTCGAACCGGGAGCGAGAGAAACTTGCTGATTGGATATTACAACAACCACAAACATCTGCGTGTACACGCTCGAGTGTGCCCTTCAGCGAGTGGCCTTCTCAACCTAGTGAACGTGCATCTTCACGATGGCACTTCAATAGGGATGCATCGAGCACATATAAGAAACGACACTTTGCTGCTGCAAAAGGTCAAGTACGTTGAGCCTTTCAACCAGCTGGACAACATTGGCAGCATCAAATGGCGCACGTCACTACGCTTCCTAGTCTTGTACTATTTCCTCGAACAGAAGCTTATCGACCGTACTATCTTCACAAAAGATGGATTGGAGTCGTTGCAGAGAGCATGTAAGAGCATCGCCGATGGGCAAATTCGGTTTGAGAAAAAGCCAACGCGCCCACTTCTCGTCATTCCAAAAAGCGTCCAGACCACAGAAGCCCAGACTCGGCCGGGATCAGAAGAAGACGACGAAGACGAAGATTTTGAAGGCATACTCGTCAAGCGGGAGGATATGCCAGTCGTGCTAGTGAAAGCAACTGAGGATGATCCTACACGTGCGGTCAGTACCATGGTGCAACGAGACGGCATCGTTGCCGCAAGGCCATTCCCGAAGAAAATGACCAGTCAAAAGAATCCAGAGCGGAGTTGCGGACATGCGTCAGCTGGAACTATCTTCGCATGCGAGTCTAAGAGAAAAAGGTCTGCGGATGACCATGCCAAGAGAGAGAAGGAGCAGGACAGAGAAGAGGATGCGAAGCTGGTGGTAAGTTGCATAGTGATTACCTGGAACCACTGAAATTAACTCTTCTCTCAGTGCAGCCGCTTCAAGCGCCTCGCACAGATCAAAATTGAGAGTCTGCAAAGGGAAGCGACTGCGATCCAGGATACGTTGAATGCGCACACCATGACATTCAACGAGGCCGTCATGGCGGTTTCGACTTATGAGAAGGCTCTCCTAGTTGCAAAAGCAAGGCTGGAGGCAGTACAAGCTGCAAAGGCGGCCACGGAGACAAAATTGGAGGAAGTGCACAGTGAGATAACTACCAAGAGCTGGATATTTCAGGAAGGCTTTGAGTCTTTCTACGGTTGAAGAACTTGAGCTACCAAAACATTGTGGGCTTTTCACCAGGAGTTACGGAAGGAATGACTTTACGGTTGCGATTTAGGTGTTGGCGTCGGAGTTCTCAAGGGGGTTGCGAAAATAACGACTGATTGTGAACTAAAAGTCTTTGCTCAATCATGGTATGGGTCCTGAGCATCATAGCCCGCTAAAACAAATCACAATCACACAAACTAGCCCACCTTACAAGTGCGCGGCGACATCAGTGTAGAGTGGCATCGTACCTGGAGTCGTCGCAAGCGCTTCCTCAATGATTGACAAGGCGAGATCGATCTGCTCCTCCGTAACCGTGATCGGAGGCGCTATCCGGAACACTCCACCAAACGATGCCATCGTGGCTAGCTGAGCCCACAAGCCCATCTCTGCAATCTTTGTTGACACTGCGGCCCCGACTTCCGGGGCACCGACCTTTGTCTTTCTGTCGCCAACAATCTCCATTCCAGCCATTAGACCGCGACCACGAACGTCGCCAATGCAACCGTAGCGTGACTGCAACTGCCTGAGTCCTGCTTGGAGCTTGAAACCGAGCCTCTTGGAACGAGCGCAGAGCTCGTCTCTCATGACGATCTCGAGAACCTTGTCGCCCACAGCAGCTGGAAGTGGATCGTTGATATGGGTAGTGTAGAACAAGAAGCCGTTATCTTTGGCATGCTGGGCGATGGGGTTCGACGTCAGGACGGCACTGAGCGGTATGCCATTTCCAAGCGTCTTGCTGAGTGTCACAATATCCGGTACCACGCCTTCATCCTCAGGGTAATGTGTAAACGCGAACATATCGCCAGCTCTTCCGAGTGCCGTCTGAGCTTCATCCACAATTAGTAGCATGCCTCGAGCGACGCAGTGCTCCTTCAGGGCCTTCAAGTATCCAGGTGGAAGCTCTAGCATACCACCACTTGATAGAATCGGCTCAACGATAGCTGCCGCAAGCGAGCCGCAGGACTGTTTGTCTACAAGATCGAAGCCGTAGTGCAGTTCAGTCTTCCAATCGTGAGTACCGTCAGCGTGTCTGAATATCGACCGATAGGAGTTGGGTGTTGGCAGCGCTAGGTTCTAAATGTAGGCGCATGAGGTCAGTGTATGTCTCACATGCAATTAACGCAGATGCACTTACCCCAATCATGTTGGGACCGTAGCCTGACCGTCCGGCGTGATACTGAGCACCGAGCGACCCGCCTGTCATGCCATGCCATGAGGCAGCCAGACCAACGATCTCCCATTTGCCAGTGTAGAATTTGGCCAGTCGAATTGCGGCTTCATTCGCTTCGCCGCCCGTACTGAGAAAGAAAGCTTTGTCGAGCCCCGCCGGCGCAACGCTAGTTAATCGTTTCGCAAGATTGATGACTGGGGGACTGATCATCCCACTGAAAAGATGATCGAGATGTTGCGCATGATCCGCGATCACTTTCACAACCTCAGGATGGCCATGCCCAATCAGAGTGCTCATCTGGCCTGAAGTGAACTAAATGCAACAGTTAACGGTGTATACTTGAGGCTTTCGGAGCTTGAAGCCACTTACGTCCATCATTCGGTGACCCGATGCTGTCTGCACGTTGATGCTGTCGGTGGAGGTGATGATCTCAGGATGGAATGCGGTCCCGTATGTGAGCAGATTGTCGTCCGCATCGCGCTGCAATTGCGTAATGTCGGCGTCTGCATATGGAAGAGGCATGATAGTGTCTATCTCGCTGCAGCTGTACTGGTCGATGGGAAAGATGATATTTGGCGTTGCTTGTGTTCCCCATGTTGCTGAATAGCTGGGGACTGGTTATATAGACAGTCTTGTATGCAGTCCCAGGCGCCATCCCACGGAACGATACGCACGAAGACGCATTGCTGTGTTTTCCGACGGAGACGCTGGAAGCATCAGAGCAGATACACGTGACCGTATCCCGTCGGAAAGAAGGTGCAGCCATGGAGGTGGCAGGGGATGATAGCGATAAGCATTGAGCTAAGTACGGCTGGCGCTTGAGCCACGATGACGACGCGAAACCCGAGAACGCGACCGCGACCGCGCAACTTCGGGAAAACTGCAATGTGCACTTCTACAGCTCAACAGCCGCGCACGCTGCATCAATACACCGAACCCCAAACTCCATGATCTTCATACCACTCACATTCTCAGCCCGAGCTGTAGTTACTCTCGACCCATCCACCATCAATAGACCATGACGCTTTTGTAACGTGCGCAGCCTCATCGCCCAGCAGGAAAGCGACCGATCCGGCTATCTCCCATGTTTCTGGAAGCTCACGGTTCAAGATACATGGAATGTTGTCTTTATTCAGATGGAATTCACCAGCAGCTGAGTTGAAAGGCCTAAGTATCGGAAGTCAGCGAATGTGTCACGATCAATCTGTACAGAACAGAACCTACTTCGTCATCATCTCTGTGTTGAAGCATCCGCTGCCTACAGTTAGCTCAGGTCGTCTTCAGACATCCAAGTCACTTACGGGCACAGCGCGTTGACCCTGATTCGCCTCGACGCCCCTTCAAAAGCTGCAACTTTCGTAAGACCAATGAGCGCGTGCTTGGCGGCGACGTATGCTTCAAGGGTGGAGATGCAAAGTCAGCGTATGTTTCGTATGCATTTGAAAAATCTCAGTATTTACCTGACGTGCCAGGCGTTCCGTAGTGGCTCGCAATGCTTCCAACATTGACGATTGAGCCACCGTCCTTGATGACCTTCATTTCTTCTTTCAAGCAATGGAAAGTACCAACAACGTTTACGTTGAGCAGCCTAGCGAAGTATTCTGGGTCGAGGTCGGTTATAGGGAAGATCTCGCGTTGCTCCACGGCTAGACGACTTGATCAGAAATACGTCCAGCATCCCGAAGGCCAATTGAGCTCACCAGCGACGTTTGCGGCACCGTCGAGCTTTCCAAATTTAGCTACGGTCTCCTCGATCCAAGACCGAACACTGTCTAGGTTGGCGATATCTACAACGCACGTCCAGTACCGGTCCTTGGCGTCTGGAAGCTCAGCGTCGATCTCTTTGGTGGCTTTTGACAGATTGTCAACCGACGTTGCCTGAAGTTTGGTGTACGAAGTCAGCATACGTTTCACACATGTTAAGTATAGGAACATCACTTACACACATAGATACTGTGGCACCTCGTATCAGCAAGTACTTGCTAACAGCAAGGCCCAGTCCACGGCTGGCGCCAGTAACAGCGATAACCCTCCCCAAGAAAGGGAGGGTATTGACAGCATATGGGAGGGTCTTAGCCGTGCCGTTCATATCGATAGGCCAGAATATGAGAGATATCAGGTATCATCAGTGCGACAGCGATGTGCCGCTCATATATCTCACGAGTCAACAGCCATATGCAAACCCTCTTTCATGGCTGCGAGCCACGAGCCGCCAGCACAACCGCGCCGCATGTTCAGATGCCGAACTCCTAGCCCAGTTTCCAACATGGGATACTACGACCCGTTTAAAGCTCCCGCACTAGATCCTTCAGTGGGGCGCGGAGTTGTGTGCCGCTGCTTATTGGGGAAACCCCCGGGACTAGCGCGATCCATTTGCCGGCTACCAGCTCCAGAGAGAGTCAATCGCACGATCCTCTCATTCAAATAAATGTCTTTCAAGACTCGTTCGTCGGGTAGTTGTCCACCTTTATCACAGACAGTTCGTACAATGCCCAACCGTGGAGCAATGTGAAGCTATGTTGTCTTTCTCCCATACCAACCTGGAGGCGGATGACGTCGCTGACATTGTTGAATGAATGGGCGATGCTGGATGGGAGCTAGGATGGTCTCATCGCTTGCATGGATGCGAAGTGGCCCTGCAGATACCTACCGGAAATGAGCGATGGGAAATGGAAATGCCAGCACCTAGACTTGTTGACGTTCACAACCACTCCAGCGGTCCCATGCGATGATGAGGCGCAGGTAGGTTTTGTGATTGGACAGACCAATTCGGAGGTTATAAGCATGCGCCTCTCCTCGACTGTTACCCTGCGTATCTTAACCTGCACGCGCTTTCTAGATTAGCGAGGATGAGTGCAACGTCAGTCTACATGGTGGCACCACCGCCTGGTCAAATCAGACATGTCGTCAACCCTCCGAACCTTCATCGAGAATTGGCCGCTGTTGGAGTCTCGACGACCATTGTTGCTCTAGTGGCGGTGATACTGCAGCTCTTCACACGAGCATATGTTACCAAACTGGGTATTCGCCTCAACGATTGTGAGTCTCTCCAATGGTCCATGTATTAAGGAAAGGCAATCTTGCTAAACTTTCTGTGCTTAGATATAGTAGTATGTGCGATGATTTGCAGCCTTGCGCTACTAGGGTGCAATTTTCCGCGTATGTTCCATAGCTACTACTGCACCTTGCGTGACTAAGTATGACACAGATATGAAGTCCGGTCTGGGCTACCATATGTGGGAAGTCAAAACAGACGAGTACTTGGTTTCTTTCCAAAAGGCAGGTACACTCGTTGCAACATTCCGGCTGCGACACTAACGAAACGCGCAGTGGACACTGGTCGGCACGACCCTCTACGCTACCAGCATCGCATTCTCAAAACTTTCGATACTGCTGTTCTATCTACGCCTTTCGCCACAAGTATGGTTCCGCACACTAGTTTGGATCCTCGTGGCGGTGGTTGTAATCTACGCCACGGTCTACGATCTCGTCAGTATCTTCGGCTGCAGACCGATAGCTGCGACATGGGATCTTAGACTTGTACCCGGGGCTACATGTCTTGATCAGCTGACCAAGTACATGGCGCTCTCCGTCCTGAACATTATAATTGATGTCTTGACATTGATACTTCCGATACCCATTGTAGCACGACTACAGATGCCGCGGAGACAAAAGATCACTGTATGCGCTATTTTCGCGACCGGTGGATTGTAAGTCATCTCAGTTGTCGAACAAGATCGGACTGACCTTACTCGTAGCGTCTGTGCCGTCGCAATTCGTCGAACGACCCTGTTGAATCCTCTCATGGTCTCTGCCGATTACACGTGGGAGGCGGTCGAACAATTCCAGTGGTGTTTTGCCGAAGTCAATGCTGGCATAGTTTGCGCATGCGCTCCCGCTCTGAGGCCGTTCTTCGCGCGCTACCTCCCTAGCCTCTTGAGTTCCCGCTTCCGCAGCAACAGCCGGGATGACGCTGGCTGTAAAAGCAACGAACTAGCACCACCGGATTCACATAGCCGACACCACGTCAAGGAGGCATTTGAACTGCGACTGCGAGATGATGCATCTGAGATGACAGCAACGACTAAACACAGTGGTGTTGATGATGAGGCACGGCTCTGGCAAGATGCTACAAATCCAGGCGGGAAAACCGTCACTACCTGTTCTGTTGCACACGCCTATTGATAGAATGTTTGGTTCACAGCCATCTTCATACTTGGTAGCGACTGGCTACAAGGCCTGGAATAATGTGTAAACTGTCAAGCAGGCATGAAGGTGATCATTCGCTTGGTACCTCCACATTTACTTGATGAGGTTCCCTCTTTCGTCGTCATCAGTCTCCTCTTCACTGTCTGTTTCGTATTCGCTCTCCTCCTCTGTCTCTTCCTCTTCGTCTGTTTCCTCTTCACTGCTGCTCTCCTCTTCTTCCTCGGCCAGCCAGTCGTCGAGCGTCTTCTCTTTCTGCGGTACTTTACTTGCACCACCCATACTAGAATCTCCACCCATACCGTTCAGACTTCGTGGGCTCAACATGCTGTCTGGCGTCATCCTGCTACTACCACCTGCTGCAGCGTCTAATCTTTCCGCCGCTGACATGTTCTTCGCGGTCTCGTATGCCGATACGTATGTCGAAGAAGAGTTTGAGACGACCTCGTCGCGTAGAGCTGGATCCGGTTCGTCACCTTCTTTGACCCAACGGGGCAGGTCTTCGTAGCCTCGTAAACCACCTACACCGCCTTCGTCGCCGATGACGAGACTGGCGCTGCCGAGCACGTAGCCCTTTCTTGTTTCACTCGGGCTGGGTATATGTGGCACTGGTTTCGGCGCAAGAAGTAAGAGCGACGCGAGTTGTGTCGATGTTGGTGTCGCCAGAAGCGCTTTGTACACGCGAGCGCGGTCGCGGAGATCGTACGAGGTGTCGTACCTCACGAGCAGGAGCACGTAGTTGTATAGGGCTTCAATAATGTGTGGCTTCTCCTCTTCAGGCTCCGCATTCTGTGGGGTGGACTCAAGATGCTCGTCCCTAAAGCCGCCTTGGTCTTCCTGGAAATCATCCATGAGCGACGGACTCGGTTTGGGCTCTTCCACTTTCGGCTCTGGAGGCGGGTTTGCAGTTAAATGATGCACATAGACCTTCGCTGCCAATAATACGATTTGGAGCTTTGCTGGTTCGGCCTCGTCCGCGAAGCCTTTGACAAGGATGCGTAAAACATCAGCGGCGATGTTGTTTTCTGGATCGATCCCTGCAAACTCTCCGACCAGCCATATGATGCTTGCTCGTGCCTGGGGGCTCGTTGCTGCATCGAGGTGTTTCGCTAACCGGACCACAGTTGTTCGGTGAGCGTTCGGGTTTCGTTGGATCAGATGTCGGATGACTTCCAGCGATTCGGCTACCAGATGAGTATCGGCCGATCCTATGTGCTTTAGCAACAGCTTCAGACATCTTGCGGAAGTCTGTGGGCTTGTTGCAGGGCTCTGCGAGCAGCGGCCGATTGCGCGCACTGACTCTTTGACCAATGCTGGATCCAAGCTTCCAGAGTGGGAGAAATGGCTCAACTCAGCCAAGATTAGGCTCTGTAGTCTCAGAGGTGCATGAGGGAATATCAGAGTAAGCAGTTCCAGTTTGAGCTGCCAGATATGTGGCGCGTCGGTTGATCGCACCAAGAAATGTGTGTAGTACTTGACGAATGGCTCCGGGTGCGTCAGGCAGACTTGCACGATATTGTACAGTGCGATGTGCTGAATGTCTCCCGCAGATCTCAAGAGGGATATCAGCGGGCCAATTGCCTGAGTCAGGTACTCTGGGGTACCGAGATACAAGTACGTCCTTGCCACCGCTATCACTACAGCCGCGTTCCGAGACTGCAAAAGTGACTGACAGCCTTTCAGCAGCAGTTCGAGGTCCGGATCCAGCACAGCAATCTCTTCCATGTCCTGTTCTTGTTCCTTTTCCTCTTCTTCTGAATCGCTTTCTGAATCGTAGAAGCCTTTCGTCGACTGCGCAGGCTTGCTATTTGTCGTGACCCCAGCTGCCTTCTTGACCTTCCTCGTCCGGCGCGGGAAGCACTTCCTTGCATATATCATCATGAGCCGCAGTGTAGCCAGCTGACCCCACTCGTCCATATCAACTAGTTTTCGTACCAATGAGCGGTAGTGCGGATGTATAAGATCCAGACGCTCCGGACATAGCTCCAAGAAAGACGATACAGCTGCGCCCGTCACGAAGTACTGCTTGTCGCCCAGTAATGTCGAAAGATATTCCAGCAGCTGCGGCTCGGTGTTCGGATCCAGCCTGTAGCACTTTGGTATTGCCAGAGCTGCTGCCCTCCTGACATATGCTGACATGTCTCCAGAACCGCGCTTTATGCCCAAGCTCACAATCTGGCTAATGACAGGCACCCTTATGCTCGACATGACGCGCAAGGCGAGAGCGCGAAGCTGAGGGTTCGTGTCCGTGAGCGACTTCTGTATCGTATTGATGGAGAGGAGCGCGGTGTCGGGTTCGTGTTCGGCATGTTGGAGGAGGTAGATGTAGACGAGCTTCTTAACCTGGAGCGAGGGGGATGCGACGTTCTTGATCACGTGGGAGAAGAAGGGCAACGTTTGCGAAGGCGGCTGTCGGTAGGACATCTAGATGCGCTGTAGTCAGTTACTACACGTCCCATAGCGTCCAATGGGCTGGTCTCGAGACCGTGGCGGGGCTCCTTACAGTGACGACTCTGCGCAGTCCTTCGAGCACATCGCGCTCTGATCTGCTGTCAAGGAGCTTCTTGAGCTGGCCCGAGGGCAGTTCTTTTGTCGGCGCTCGGCGGACATTGCTGGCATCGCGGGCGGCTTCGAGGGTGAGGTCGCGAGCTGCAGAGAGAGACCAGTGAGCGAAGTTCGAGGGATGCATGACGGTGGCACCAAGCAATTACATGGTCAAAAAGCCTGCAGCCCAGATCGGGGAGCAGAAACGGGCAGCATATCTGTATGAAAAATGTGAAAGGCGCCATACCTGTCTCCAGCAAGCTCGATATGCGACTGATGGACTCCATGACCGCGACGTGCGCCTGGGACAGCGCTTCGGTCCGGAGCGTGCGCGCTTCG